GTGTACTATAGTCCCCGCAGACACGCCATACCGGTCGAGGGGTGTTGGGTGATGTTCAAACTCACCATTTTCACCAGCAGACTCCACCGGAAGCGCCACAGTGGCTGTATTGCGGGTTGCCTACACACGGGCAAATCTCACGTTTTTCCGTATTTTCAAGGCCACCGTTGACCCTGAAAATATTATCTGATCGAAAAACGATTTTACACAGTCAATCTGGTCTATAGGTAGCACACTTTCCGCATATAGCCGATATCAATATCGAAAAAAGTGGGTAATCGCTACCCCTTACTGCACGTGTCCGTTCCCTGGTGGAGGGCCACAGTGGGGTGGCAGACCCGGATTTCGCTGGCACGGCATTTGGCTACGTCAGCTTCTGTCATCAGTAAATGCGTCGTCAGGGCACCGTTAACCGCGATGTATTCGGTTTCCGGTTTGAAAAACGCGAATACGTCGTGGTGTGTGCTATTAGGTATGGGATAGGGCCAAGGGTGGCTCTTGTATAGAGCGAACTTCCGGTCCGCCTGTACAAGAGGCACATGAAGGAAAAGAGTGAGGCGGTCGTTGCGGAGCAGCGGCTGCACAATGATGACTCCATAAAAGACATGAATATTGGCTAGCGAGGGCGGAATGGGAAGCTGGAGACCAAGGGGCTTAAGCTCCTCAGTGAGCGCCAGCAAGATGTCTAACAGCCTATGGGGCTCGATGAACGAGCTGGAGAGACCACCGTCCATGGCCGCCACCTCCCAAGCACCGACGAAAGCCAATACTTCTTCTCTTATGGATGCAATTGCAGCATGCGTGTTCCGCAACGCACTAGAAAGCGTCGCGTCCGTGCTCATACGGTCAAAGCGGACAAGGGCGAGCTCGGTCAGTTTTTTTATCTGAGCGTCATGGTCCTTCATTGTCTTCAAGGTGACGGTCAGTTTTGATGCGAACTCGTCCGAAATACGGGCGAGTAGGCCGACCTGGTTGCCCATGGCAGCCATCTTGTTGTCCAGTCGGCTGCGGTCGGAGTCGGACATCGTTCCAAAGAGGAACGACTCCAAGCGGCCGACTGCGTTGACCAGTCCACGTCGCGTCCGTCTGTGGGGTCGAGTACTGTTACCATCGCCGGCGGCTTGGCCGACGTAGAATTCGGCTCCCAGCGGCTGCAGCATCCCGTCCCAATGGCCAATGGGGCGGCTGGCCTGCCGCCAGGAAGATGGCTGCGACAAGTCCGGGATTATGTGGGAATCGATGGTGTTGAACCGTGTCCCGGAGGACTCCAGGGTAGGCACGGAGTCCCACCCCCGAGAGGCAGAGCCGAGAGCCGGTCGGACCGCGTTAGGTGAGCCAGAAGGTGATGTCGACGAAGGGACCGAAGGGGTTGGCGCAGGACGACGAGGACTCGGCCGGGATGGCGGAGGCGGCGCCTCCTCCTCGAAGTCGAAGTCAGGGTCCATGTTGGCCACCACCTGCGGCTCCGGGCTGTAATAGATAACTGAAGGGATGTACCTCTTGCGTCGCCTGGTGTAGGGGTCCACGAAGAGAGGTGGCGGCTTGTCGCCCTCGACGGGCTTGGGGGACTCATCGTACGGGTCGACGAAGATAGATGAAGACGTCGGCGTGGGCGTTCCGTACAAGGACCCGGTGGGCGCGTCCACAGGTGTGTCGGCCATGTACGGAAGATTCGGACTGATTCCCTGGGCGCCCTTGCGAGGGGGCGCGGGGAACAGCTCGTAGGGCTGGTAGAAGCGGGTCCCGTTCTGTAGGTCGGCCATCATCATCCGCTCCGCACGCCTATAAAAAACTTTTAACCATCGGATGATCTGGAGGTTAATGTGTGAAGCGGAGGAAGGGGCAAAGACCGGGGCCTGGAGCACGTTCAAGGGGCACACTTGCACGGGGCCATCCGGAGAACAGCCCTGGGCGACGACGTTGTCGACGCCAACGATGGTACTCCCAGGATGGGGCGAGGCAGGCATCCCTCGGCGATCCGACGGGGAGAAGGCGCTCAGTGGGTGCTGAGGGCTGGCAGATCGTCGCCGACGGCGTCCAGCCGCCGGTTGTGCCGGGATTGACGACGGTGTAGTGGTGGTCGTGGTAGTCGTGGAGGCCACCGGCACGGAAAGTTGGAAATTCTCGATCTCCTTTTTAATCCCGGCCGATTCAACCAGGATCCCGGTCACCTCGTGCTTGATCTGCTCAGAGGCTGAGGCGAGCTGCAGCAGGGCCTTGAGATTGTTCTCCAGGCCGAGGAGGTGGGCAACATACCCATCGACTCGTTTCATCGGGAGCAGCAGCACCCATTCACTGACGGAGAGGAAGAAATCCCCCTCCTTCACGAAGATGGCGCCGCTGTTCAGCTGGCCCGCTGCCTCGATCGATGCCTTCGTGTATACCTCGTTGTGGCCCATGATGTGGGGTGGGCCACGCCTCGCCGCCAGGGCGAGCTGCACCGCACAGCCCAACAGGAGAAGCGCCCAGTATGAAGTCATGTCAGCCTGTGGAAGGAAGACAAATTAGTCCTTCCAATATCGTCGAAAATACCACCGCACATCATTGGAGAGGCTGTCAAAAGACCAATATGTGCGGCAGGAGGGTGTATACCCTGGCAGGGAGGGAGTATAAGCGTCCGTCCGTAAGCGTAAAATTAAAGTGTCTGGCGCTCGCGCAGTCCCTCGGATGCGCGACAAAAACGGTGGAGCCGGCGCTCCGCGCGGCGTCCGTTGCGCCCGAGTATTGTTACTGTCCGCGGCTGCAGGGGAGCCCAAGAGCCCCTGCAGTCTCGAATGTCGAGGGTCAACCATCGTGTCGAGTAGTTGTAAGTCATGTGCGGTGTCGAGTCACGATGGCACGCCCATGCGTGGTTAAATACCGCTGCCAGGCCCGGGTGGCAGTACAGGGACGCCCAAGCAGCAGGAGGGGCACGGGCCTGCACCATCTGGTGACAGACCCGAATCGCTGCTATCTCCTGCAACGAGGGTACCATTCCGACGGGTCCTAGTATAGCCGGAACTTGCGCCAGTCCCTCCGTAGGTGTGAGACTGCACCGTAGCAGTCCTTCCGAAGGTGCGTGGCGGAGAAGCAAAAGTAGCACCGTCGGACCGGATAGTTATAGTCCAAGTGGTGGTCCCTGGGGCGCCAAGGCGCCTCCAGTTCCTGACGATCGGCCTCGGCGAGGGAATCGTCGGCGCTATCCGGGTCGGTGCTGTCCCTGGGTGGTGTGTCCGGGACGGGGGCGACGTCTTCCCAGTCGTCCTCCTGGGAAGGAGCGGCTTCGGCCGCCGCGGCCAAGGGGGCAGCGGCAGGCGGTGGGGCCCGCCCAGTCGCCAACGCGAACCGGAGCGCCGCCGTGTTGCGGCGGCCTGGGTCGGCAGGAGCAGGAGTAGTAGAAGCTGCGGCCGATGATTGGGTCGCAGGGTCGGTGACCGTCTCCGCCACCTCGTCGTCCCAGCTCGGCTCGAGCACGGGTAGGTCCACCTTCTCGAAGGGGACCTTCAGCGGCTTATGCGGTGAAGGCTCCGCCTTGGCGGTGCCTAGAGCAGGAGGATAGTTGTCAAGGGAGAGCGCCGTGCTGATCCGGCCCTCCTCCCTTCGGCGAGCTTCCAACCGACGCAACAGTCGGAGGACGCAGTCGAGCTCACAGGAGGCCGACTCGCTGAGCCGGCGCCAGTCAATCTTGAGCTCGGGTACCTCCGTCTTGTGGTACTCGCTGGTGTACCGCCGGATGTCGTGCTGCAGGAGGTCCCGGAGGGCTTCCAGAAAGGGACGTTGGAAACCGGCCTGGTCAAAGTACGCCATTGAGGGAGACGGGAGACCTGGAAAACCACGACAAATAAGGATAGAGACATACAGCCACAAAAATGGCTACGCAGTCGGAGTCAACGCCGTCAGAGTGGGCATCCCGTCGCAGTCGGTGACGGTCCCACGCCGGGTGGGGAGGCATCCCATCCGACGCGCCAGGCGCTCCAGCGAGCGGCGGCCGGTCAGAGGCGGCCCGCGTAGTGATACTCAGGAGCCGGGCCGCGCGAGCGCAGTGCCCGGCCGGCAGCCGTCGAAGGAGCAGGGTCCGTGCTCGCCGGTTCCGGCGAGTCGTCTGCCAAGGTCGAGTCGAGCGCCAGCTCGGGCGCTGTCAATGTCTCGTCCGGCGAAGAGATGTCCGGAGGCGTCCCGTCGTCGTCAGTGGAGACCAAGTCGGAGAGAGGAGACCCATCGGGATGCAAGCGGTCCGGAGCCAACTTCAGCTTGTTGCAATGCACGATCCGGGTCTCCTGTGCCTTATTGTGCACTGGAAAAATTGGGGAAATCTGCATGTTAACCTTATTAAAAATACGAATCACGCGAAAAGGCCCAGTGTACTTGGGGCTCAGCTTGCGGGAGAGCTGTGCCGAAGGGGCGTCCGCAACAAGGAAGACCTTGTCGCCCGCCCGTATTTTGGAGGGGTTCGTCTTCCTGTTGTAGTAGAAGGCCCGCGTGTCCGCCGCAGCCCCGAGCTCCGCTTGGATCCGCTGATAGGTCCGGCGGAGCGTCTCTTGCACGTCCGCGGCCATGTCGTCTCCGTCGTGGTATCTGGGACGGGCAGGCTTCCAGAGATCGGCAGTAGGCCAGCGCGGATCGCGCAGGAAAACAGTGTAGAACGCCGACTCAGATGTGCTAGAATGAATAGCTGTATTATGGGCGTAGGCGGCAATGCAGGCCTTACGAGACCAATCAAGACCGTCTTCGGCAAGTATTTTGGCCAAGATGGTTACGATGGTCTTGTTGGCCCTTTCACACAGCCCATTAGTGGACGGCTGATACGCACTCGTGCGCAGCCGTTTAATACCCAGCATGTTTGTCACTTCCCGTAGGACGCCGGCCCACAAATCCGGCGCCTGGTCGCTGATCAAGATCGCTGGTGGCCCAAAACGGGTGAAAACATCCCGCACCAGTACAGATGCGATAGAGAACCCAGACTTATCAGGGACCGGGCTCACAGTGACGTACTTGCTGAACGCACAAATAAACACTACCAAGTGTTTATTGCCATCCAAATCGGCACTAAGTGGGCCGATCAAATCAACATGACAAATCTCAAAAGGTTCCCCTGCTAACGGCATCCGGACAATTGGCGCCTTCACCACCCGCCCCTTATTAAAACGGAGGCAGGTAAGGCAAGAAGAGACGTAGTTAATTACGTGCTGTTTCATGCCCTTCCACCAAAAGTCCCGTTGCACCCTCCGCAGGATCATGGTTTCCCCATAGTGGCCACTGATAGGAATATCGTGGCACAGGTACAAGACAAATTCCCGGGCTGCTGTCGGGACGACAAGCAAGTCACGGGGAAAGGACGGTTTATGCAACAGTCCCTTATCATCCAGGATAAAGTTGCCCACCGCAGATCCGGATCCAGCTTCGAGCTGGGAGAGGACGGAGGTGCAGTACTTATCCTTGCGTTGTTGTAGCAGCAGCGTATCGGTGTCCTAGATGATGGGGTCATAGGTCCCGAAGGGCTCCCCTGGATCGCCCTCGGCCTGCAGCTTGATGCTCCCGATACGCTGTGGAAGGACCCGAGAAAAGAAGTCGGCGCCGCCGTTGGAGGTTCCTTTTAAATGGGAAACAGTCAGATTAAATTGGCTAAGGAAAATGGCCCAGCGCGCCAGGCGGCTGGTAGGGTCCCGGAAGCTCGGGAGCCATTGTAGGGCGGCGTGGTCAGTGTACACCTGCACCGGGATCTTGGTGTCCAGCAGGTAGTGCACGAAATGCTTCAAATTAAGTATGAGAGAAAGGCATTCCCGTTCAATACAGGAAAAACGCCTTTCTGGTGGACTGTACAGCTTAGAGAAGTAAGAGATGACCCGAAAGGGGCCGTCGCCCGTTTGCTGACAGAGCACCCCCCCCGCAGCAAAATCTGAGCTGTCAGAGTAGAGGATCATGGGCTTACTGAAATCAGGGAAGGCGAGCGTGACAGGTTCTTCTGTGAGGGCCTACTTGACATAGTCCAGGGCCGCCTGCTGCTCCTCCCCCCACGTAAACGGCGTATTCTTACGCGTCAGCCGGATGAGCGGCTCTGTAAACCGGTACAGGTTAGGCACATGAGATTTGAAGAAGGCGCACAAGCCCATGAAGGACTTGACCTCGCGCACAGAATGCAAGCGAGTGATGTCCCGCAAGGGAGCGAGCTTCTGGGGGTCCGGAGTGACCCCTTCCTTGCTAACCCGGAAGCCCAAATATTTGACCTCCTTTTGAGCCCACTCGCATTTGCGCGGGTTCAGCCGTAGGTTGTCAGCCGACAACCTACCCAAGACCTCGCCAACATCAGACAAGTGAGATTCAAAACTCCCACTAAAACAAATCACGTCATCAACATAAGCTAAGCAATTTACGCCGATAAGGCCGGAGAGCACCTTGTTGATGTGGAGCTGGAACTGGAAGCTGGAAGTCTTCAGCCCCATGGCTAGGCGTTTTAGCTGAAATCTGGAATTTTTCACCGAGAAAGCGAGCTTGTGGCGATCCTTCGGGTGTACCTTCAGGTTGAAATAACCATTAGACAGATCCAGGCAGGTGAAATATTCCTGGTTGGCCAGGGCCTCCAGGGCGTCCGAAATCTTAGGCAAATCGACATAAATATCATGACGAACGACGGAGTTCAACCGACGACAGTCGATAACCCACCTGTATGCCGGTGGATCACCCGGATTAATAGCCTTCTTCTTAACTACCACCAGGGGGAGATTATACAAAGAGGTGGAAGGCTCAACAACATCCAATTGTTGCATGCGTTCCATCTCTTGCAACAAGTAATCCTCATGCGCCTTGGCAAGAGGGTACTGACGCACGAACACTGGGTCGTCAGTAGTGAGAGGAATCTCGACGAAAAAATCCGGAGCCCCTCCAAAAGTATCCTTGCAGAAAAGATTTGGGTAGCGCAGCAGCACTTCCCTCAACGCCTCCGCCTTATCCGGCGGGAGGTGGGGGAGCGGCAGCTCCGCTATGATCTGCTCGGGGGTCGGGTTCCCCCCTCCCTCACCTGCAGCGGCCCCCGTCACCGAGGGGCCCTGGGCAGACCTTACCTCTTCTCCTATTGTTTCTGCCAGCGGCTCTGCTGGACGATCCGATGCGACATCTGTGCTTGAGCCCGGGGCTCCTAGCCCCCAGAGAAGAGGAGTATTATTGCTCACCGAATCAGCCGACCCGCCTCCCGAATCCTCGTAGGATGGCGAGTCGATGAGAGGCTCCCAATCGCTGATAACACCATTGATGCTCCGTGGTGCTGCAGCGGCAGGGGAGAGACTCACAATGGGCTGGCCCTTCTGAAACACTATGGGTTCATTCGACAAATTCACACACAACACGGGGCAGCGATGGTCAGGCGCTACCCGCGCTATGACTCCCGCGATGAACAGACCAGGCTCATCGCTTGAATTCGTAGGCCAGCACAAATACTCTTGATCAACCGGTGCGCCGGTCGTGCCCCAAAAGAGCGAATGCGTCTTCGCAGGTACTACCGTTGGTTCCGTGAACCACACCCGATGACTTGCGTCCTGAAATGTGACATGGCGCCCAGTAGAGCGCACTTTCGTCCCTTTCTTCAGAATGCCTTCGCGGACCGTAGGGCTGGAGGGAACTGGGCTGCCGTCCGGGCCAGCTGCCAGGACAGGCAGCAGCACTTCCCCGTTGATGGAATATCCAGGCCCGCCACGTGCTGGGTGGAGGTGAACTGACATTCCTGACGTTCCTATTGTCATGCGCCGGTCCGCCAAATCTAATTTGCATCCGTGACGCGTGAGGAAGTCCAAGCCAAGAACGCCATCTGCGGATAATTGATGCGCAGCCGCAACATAGAATGTATGTTGCAAACACTTCTTTCCCACGCACAATGTAAGCTCGGCGGTGCCCATTAAATCAATGCCATTCCCTGTCAGAGTGCGCAGCGTAACCGATGTTGGCTCGACGCCATCCACTGCATAACGATGGTCAATCACTGACGCGTCGGCACCCGAGTCTGCGATTAGGTACGCGGCTTTTCCGTTCACAGTAAATTTGACCAGGTTTGCTTGCGGCAGGGTAGGCGCCATTGCACTGGCTCCGCCCATCACTGGCGACGGCTGTCCTTCGGCCCCCCCCACCCCTTCTTCTGGTTTTGGTACCCGGAGGAGGAGGGGGCCCTGGCGTTTCCCGCCGCGGAGCAGACGCACCGGCAATTACACTGCGGGCGCGCGGGCGATGCTGGCCGCGCGCCAACGTATTGGGCGCTCCCGGCCCCGCCGCCTGGCGAGGCGGCACGCTGCGGAGATGTCCCCCGCCGCGCGTCTGGCATATTAGTGACGCGGCCCGGGCTAGGCGACCTCGGGCGGCCGCGGCCCTGATTACCCCTCGCACCCGGTCTGGACCAACAATCGCGCTTCCGGTGCCCATATTTATTACACTGGAAGCACTGTACACGGGATAGGTCGGGCTTAGCGGGCGTCGCAACAGCCGCGACTACCGGGGCAGTAGAAGAACCACAAGAAGCCTGGATCTCTTCATTTAACGCGATGCGCAAAATCTCCGTCATGGGCGTGTCGGGTCTGACTTGAACACGCACCAACGAGCGGATATTCGAAGCCAGGCCCTTGAGAAATTGCATGCGCACATCCTGATCCAGGAACCTGCGGCGAAACTCCTTCTCACTCTCATTCGCGGGCGTCCCGCGTGATTGATTTAACTTCTGAGCCAAGCGCTGCACACGAGCGGCGAAGGAGGAGACCGACTCCCCCTGCTTCTGAGCACAACTGCTAAATGTCTGAGATAGCATAACGGTCGTTTCCGGGGGGGAGAACCTTTCAATCAGGCGATTACTAAGCTCCTTAAAATCTTCCAGGAGGTCTAGCTCGACATCAGTACCAAGGAACTCATGAGCGGCCCCACGCAACTGGAGACGCGCAACCTGACATTTTTGCGCATCTGTCCAATTGGCAAGGCGGCCCGCCTCTACCACTCGAGTGAGGAATTCCTTAACAGGGTACGACCGGTCCTCCCCACTGAATGGTGCTATCATCGCCACTAAGTGAGCCATGGCACTAAACCCTTCGGGATCGTTGAGTGTTTCTAATTCACGCCGACGGCGCTCGGCTTCTAAGCGCGCCCTTTCCTTCTGTTTTTCGCGTTCCAACGCTCGCGCCAAGCGCTCCTTTTCGAGCCGCTCGACCTCGAGCGGGTCTTTAAGTGGGGATGTCTGCTCTAGGAACTTGCAGACGGCCTGCTGGATGAACGGCCCCTTACTGATTTGCCTTTCAGCAAAATCGCGGAAAAGCCCCTTAAGGTCGACGAAAAAGATGGAATGCTCCTCAGGCTTTTGATCTGAAGACTCAATGAAGAAGAATGACGGGATACCAGTAGCCTCGGGCGAGAGGGGGTAGGTACGGTTGAAGCGATTGCCGAACGCAATAAACTTGTCCTTGAAAGCCCCCTTCGTCCACGGTACATCCAATTTGTCTTTCAGCCCGGCGAACAGTTCCTCTATTTGGTCCTCAAGCGTAGGAAGCTCTTGAATCGCAAACTGTCCTCCGTTAAGAAGGGCTATGCGCGGATACTCTTTCTTTTGCGGCAAGGCGAATTGGTTAATATACTTGATAAAACCGGGGGCCGTCACTTCGTAATTGGGTTCAGCAGACGCCATTTACGCACACAGACACCCAGTATAACACCCCAGGGTAAGGCAAAACAGGCACTTAAGGCACTCCCAAATGGTCACACACAAGTCACGAGTCCGCTGGAGTCTGGACACGTCAGCCATCACTCGCTGACGAAAAACGTATCGAAATACGACGAGTCCGCGTTGTCGCCGTCCGTCTGGACGCAGCACAGTTGTCACAAGTCCGGCGACACAGTACAGGTCACAATAGTCAAATCCCACTTCTGACACCAGTGTAATGAACTGCCTAAAGGACCTACTTCTAGTCACTTTGGACAGGTCTACGGGTTCGGATTATAGTCAGGCAGAATCACAGCACTTCGAGGGTATGATATTTTACTTACTATTGTGAGGGTTACACGGAACTCTCCTAGACTCCACACGGAACTGACTCTCTGCGGGCCCCGGGGTCCGATATATACTCCGGGGTCCGGCGGGGAGACTGCATCTCAGATGCAGCTCGGCTCCCGTCCCATCCTGGAACGTTCTAGGCGCCGCGTGGTCACCATGGTCCCGACACTACGCGCCTGCCGCGCACTGCACGGCGGCACGTGTCAGGGTCAAGACCATGTTACCCCGATGCGCCCAATTCGGTCCTAGATGGGAAGATCTTTAGGGCATTACATCACCCCCCCCTCCCCCAAAATAAGGCTGTACGCAGAGTCAGAAACGGTGGCTAGGGAGCGAAAGCAGAGGGTGGCCGCTCTCCACCGTTAACAGTACTAAGGTTACATGTGAGCGGATAACATTATAAAGGAATACATTAATCTTGATTTCAAAAGATATAAAGATAGAAAAAATAAAAATATGTTAGGGCGTCGTAGATTGGTCGTCGCACGCTACGGGCACACCGTCGCATATCTTGCCTGCTCCAGAGGGGCGCCGACGCGACAGGGGTAGCGGAAAGGCGGCCCAGCCGCGCCGCAGTCTCCCTGGAACAAACAAAAACATACGAAAGTATCTGCCACATCAGTACTCTGGTTCAGCACTAAGCCGAGAGCGCCTATCCCCACTTACGTCTCGATCCGTCCGCCTACTCCGGACGTTCGGAGTAGGAGGCGGTTGGTTCTGTGGCATGGGGAGAAGGGGTATAATATTCCGGTCCCGCACCCGCTGAACGGTACGGCGGGGCCACAGTGAATATACCCAGTATACCAAGCCCAGGACCATGATTGTAAGGAGACAGAGCCCTACGACGAATGTTACCGACCAGTGCGGATGCAGCAGCCAGCCCCAGCGTGGTGGTGAGTATTCCTTCGCCTTCCGAAGGAGGTTGTCCAATGTCGTCATGTCGAGGGCCTTGTCCAAGTCCTGGCCGCGGGTCTCGTTGAGGAAGTCGCGGATGTCGGTGACCAGCTGCTGTGCCGTGCCGTTGGACCGTATCACCGTGAAGTCCGGAATATCCGGGATGACCACGACGTCGGCTGCCTCCAGCTCCGACCGGAAGGTAGCGCCTGCGTAGAGGGTGGCCCCTCGGACGCGCGCTGCCGTGTTGGGGGCCAGGTGGAGGACCCCCGTGAGGTCGCGGAGCATCTGGCCCTTGGTCATGTTGTGGACCAAGGACCTGCCAGATGCGTCGTGCAGGGCGATGCGAGCCGGAGAGCCGAGCGAGTAGGCCCAGCTGGTCCCATGCTGATATCCGATAAACCGATCCTTCGGTTCCCGGATGTAGTGGGGCTCGCAGAGGGCCTTGACCTTGTCGGCGTCGGACAGCATGAGGGCCATGCTGCACGTTAAGGGGTAGCGATTACCCACTTTTTTCGATATTGATATCGGCTATATGCGGAAAGTGTGCTACCTATAGACCAGATTGACTGTGTAAAATCGTT